GTTCATCTCTGACTAGCAGGGAAAATTTTGTTAGCAGCAAGTTAACCTTGGGTATTTTCCAGGATACCATGAAGTAAGTGATACCTGTTAGTATTAAAAGCAGAACACGGGTATTGCTGAGTTTTGGGATGCCATACCCTCTTTGTTTTCATGACGATAATGCATTAAAGGTCAAAATGCCAGCCGGTGATGCTGCAGAATACATGGTGCACCTGGGCTTTGTAGGACAGGCCAACATGTGTGTTGGACATCGCCAGCAACTCTTCCTGTTCCTTGTTGTGCAGCATTTGAACAAAATGTTCAGTGGAGAAAACTTTTCCAGAGTCTGCTCTCTATGTTTTTTTTATCTCTGCAGCTTTGCATCTAGCAAGAGGCACCTCCATTTTACATAAGCACTGTCAACATTGAAGTGTAACACTAGCCCGTGTCATCCATCCCCGCAATGAGCTGGGGGGACCTTTGTGCGGGAGCCTGACCTTTTCCCTCTTGCTGGAGCTGCTCTCGTTGCTCAGCAAGAAATAAACAATTGCTGGCACCCACAGCCCTCCAGGGCAGCACCCGTCCCTGCCGGAGCTCCGCTCTGTCCCGTCCCTGCCGGAGCTCCGCTCTGTCCCGTCCCTGCCGGAGCTCCGGCCTGTCCCGTCCCTGCCGGAGCTCTGCTCTGTCCCGTCCCTGCCGGAGCTCTGCTCTGTCCCGTCCCTGCCGGAGCTCCGCTCTGTCCCGTCCCTGCCGGAGCTCCGGCCTGTCCCGTCCCTGCCGGAGCTCCGGCCTGTCCCGTCCCTGCCGGAGCTCCGGCCTGTCCCGTCCCTGCCGGAGCTCTGCTCTGTCCCGTCCCTGCCGGAGCTCCGCTCTGTCCCGTCCCTGCCGGAGCTCCGCTCTGTCCCGTCCCTGCCGGAGCTCCGGCCTGTCCCGTCCCTGCCGGAGCTCCGGCCTGCCCTGTCCCTGCAGAAGTCTCCCTGCTAAAGACTCAAGCAATCCTTTGCAGGCTGTGTGTGGTAAAGGGGGAAGAGAGCTAGAATTTAGCATCCTCTTGGACATTAGGGATGGCCATTAATTTTCTTTATGTAATGAAGATAGTATTTGCTGATGGGAAGACAGGTTCCTGAGAGTACAGAATGTTCCCTGGCTTGCAGTGGCAAAGCAGGGATGAAATTTTGTCATCAAAAAGGCTAACTTCATTTTTCCCTTTTTGGATCAGGTGTGCTGGCTGCTTTAAGATGTTCCTAACATGAAAGGTCTTGCTAGGGCTGAACAAGGCAAATGTTCCATGCTGGCTGATTTTGTGCATTAGAGTCCATTTTTCTTAGCTGTTGACTACATCAGTATTATCATTCTTGTCCAGGAAAGTGGTGTATGAGCAAGGGCTACAAGATGAGGCCATTATAGGACAGAAAAACATATGAAGATCTTACTTTAAAAAAGCTGAAAGTTTCCTAGGCTCTTTTGAACTTTCTGTTCACAGCAGTGTTCAAAGACTTTTGAGTACTCATGGTAAAACCAAGTGCTTATAGATTTTTGTCACATTTCTTAGCTTAATAACTCTAGAAAAGTAATTTTTCTTATGTGGACTTCAGTTGTTTCCTCCTGTAAAAGAGGACTGAGATTTAGATCTTTGAGTTTCTACAAGACTTAATTAATTAGAGTGATTTGAGAATGAAGGATGCCCTGTCAGTGTCACTTATTCTCCTCATTCTACTTCTTCTGGGTACTTATTAAATTCAGTGGTTTTGCATTTAAAGTCATCATGGCAAGATTTTGGAGTGACACTGACTGTGTGGCTCTGGCTGGTCAGTAACTAGGAGGGTCAAATTCCAAATTGGCATATCTTATTTTCACTCACATAAATTTTCACAGGAGCTGCTGCTTTTAGTGAAATCCCCCTAGAAACTGGATTCCTATCTTGGTATTTTTCTTGCTCAGGCTATTAATGATAAATGTTGTGTGAATTTTTTCAGCAACTGAAGGCATCTTTTACACCTACATCCAGGGGGAGTGAACCCCTGGATTGACATTCCTGTTCTCCATGTGAGTCTTTACCAGGCAGCTTTGTTTTTCAGCTCATGAGTGATTGTGGAGCCCTGCTCTGGAGCCAGCTCAGGTAGAATGAAGCAGATGGCTCAGTGTTGCCTAAGTGCTTGCTGAGACACAGCAAATTGCTTCTGTAACCCACTGATAGGTTTCAGGCTTTAATTGAGGCTTTCAGCAAGGCGCTCAACAGTGAAAAGCATTCTGCTGAGAAAAACAGCACTGTAACCATGGCCAAAGGTTCAGGACAGCAGAGTTCAACCCTCTTGGGGATGACTCCTCTATTTATTCATTTGTTTTCTGCTGCTTTCCCACCATCGTTGAAGACTCCTGTAATGTCTCTTGCAGGCTGCTCAGTCTGTCAGTGCCACTCAGTCCTTTGTGCTGGAAGCGTGAAGCACACACTGATAAGTTTGGATTCTTTGCTTGCAGCAGGCTTGGTGTGTCTGCAAAGGTGGCTGTCCCCTGATGCTCCCTGTGAGCCCTGCCCTGAGCAGCAGCTTTGGTTGTTCTTCGCTGTGTGGCAACGGGTAAAGCTCCTGCTGTGTTTCCTCTTACAGACATCAGCATCATCAGAATTCTGACTTTTAATGGACATCTCTAAAAGGGAAAGAAAAACTCCCTTGCTCCTCCTTCACCCCAAGCAAGAGTGGATTTGACAGTGAAAGAAGGATATTTGTGGTGGAGTTGTCTGAGCAGCGTCCTGTTGGGCAAGAGTTTCCTTCAGCAGCTTCCCCTTAGGCTGAAAGAGCTGCTCTGAAATTGAGTTGTAACTCACACAGAAAAGGGCAGTCCAGAGAGGGAGGGATGCAATAACCCAGTTGTCTGTCATCCCCCCATCCCCACATTTTTGTCAGCTTCCAATTCTGCTTTGAGTTTGACTTCTTCACAGTTCAGGGCCAAGGAATAAGTTTCAGCATTGGAAATTGGAAGTATCTCTTGAGCCAGCTTGGTTTAGTGTCCTCAATTAGTCAGCAAGGAGTTGTTTCCAGTTTAAAAACTGTCTAATTAGAAAGGAGTTGTTTCCAGTTAAAAAACTGTCTGGTTGTCTTAGATTTAGTGCTGGCATGGGTCTTACATAAAGACCCTAGATAAAGGCACTAAGTGAATAAGAGAAATTAAATTATTTGATTGAAGTTTCCTAAAGAGTCTAAGAAATTTGTGATGTAGAAGTAGTGCTGGTAGCTTAAAATCACCGCTGGATTCACTCTGTCCCAAGGAGCTCAGAAGTACAAAGATTTCTGTGCAGTTTTGAAATCCCAGCCACATTTGATAATGTCTGCAGCATGTTTTTACATTCATTTAGCTTTTCAGTGGCTTAAAATGCACTGAAAGTGTGAACTACACTGCCAATGTGCTTTTGTACTTGGCATGAATTTAATTAAAAAGATAATGGGATTGCTTTATCAGCCTTTACGTGTCAGCCTAATGCCACTCTCCTCTCCCCCCATTAACAATGCTGACAAACTCAGTGCATTTGAAATCTGTTTTATTCTGCATTGTTCTCTTCCTCTTGTGTTTCAGGTGGGGGTGCAGAGGTGACTGTTTGCTGTTGAGCAGTAGATCTGCTGCAGGGTGGGAAGGAAGTGGCTGATAAGCAGAGAGCCAACCTGGTCAGATGGTTCCTGCTGGGGCTGCCCTGGGCAAGCACAGGGGGAAATGCCAGGAGCCGCAAAGCTCCAAAACAAAACAAAGCACTCAGGCCCTGTGCAAAGTCCCCTGCCTGTGTTACACTTATGTATAGCCAAAAATGTGCAGTTGAGATCTGCAAGCTGCACGAAAAGGACAGTTTATGTGATTTTCCTGGAAATGCTGCCGAGGAATGTAAGATCCATTTTTTGTGCAAAACACTGAAGTTTTCATGTAAACATGTGTGCCCAGCCAATGCTGTTAAATAAACCTGAGCACATGTCCATATTTCACGACATCCCTTTTTGCAGAGGACCAGGCTCATGCAGAGAAGGAGGAAGTGGAAGGGCATGTGAGCTAAACACAAGTTGCTGTCCCTTCATTGCAGAGTTCCTCCCCTGCCTCTGGCACTGCCTCCACGCTCTTGTGGAGCCCCTCCTGGCTCTCATGTGCCCTTCATGTTCTTTTCAGAAGTGATTTTTGAACACTCACCATAATTTCCTTGAACTTGCGGAGTGTCATTGAACCATCTCTGGGAATTTGGGTGGGTAGGTTTTCTCTAAAGATTGTTTTTTATGTTATAAAGCAGCTTCTGTTCCAGCAGTTTGTGGTCACATGGCTGCTGAGGAGTTGTCCTTTGCTTATCCAGCTGGTCTGTGGATGGGGCAGTTGATGAAATAGCTTGGACGTGGTCAGGGCCGTGCAGGGAACTGGGGCAGATTGGGTTGGGCAATCAGGAATGCTGTTCTTGAGTGGAAATGCTGTTGTATGGAAGATTTGGAGACTTTACGAGTTGGCTTCTGTTACAGCTGGAGGGTGACATCATGACTTTTCAGGCTCCTTCAAGACAGAAAAAAAAGCCGCTTAGTCTGTGAGATTTTTTTTCTTTGGTAAAATTGATTTAAGTTAATTCCAAATGTGAATTCACATTTATAATAAAATATCTGTAAGAGTGCTGTTTTGATAGCCTCTCTCTCTCTCCCCCTTTCCTTAATGATCTCTTAACAAGAGCTTAACTTTAGAAACAGTTCAATAGCAGGTATCTGTCATTAGCCTGAGTAAGAAGGTGTTTGTGAGAGGAGATGATGAAAAGAAAGATACTCTGGAGTTAAGAAACTCATTTTGAAATGAAAAGAATCATGGTTTCTCATTGCTTCTACAGAAGAAACTAGTTTAGATATAAAAGGTTTCCTTGTCTATTTATTTAAATGTTTCAAGTACGTCTTCTCAGCCAGCAGAAAAGGCAAAACTCAAAATACAAAGCAGCCCCCTTGGGCAGTAGGAAGCACAGCTCCCTTCAAGAGGTTTATGGTGGTGTCAGTGTGGCCCTTTCACATGTCTTGCAGAAGAAGATTTACAAGTACAAGAAGGTGCTGAGTAACCCCAGTCGCTGGGAGGTGGTGCTGAAGGAGATCCGGACGCTGGTGGACATGGCACTGACGTCCCCGCTGCAGGACGACTCCATCCACCAGGCACCCCTGGAGATTGTCTCCAAGCTGCTCTCAGAGGTACGGCCTCAGCAGGGCTCCTGGCTCTCTCAGATGAGAGACAAACAGTTAAAAGTTTGGGGGTTGGTTTTTATTTTAACTTGGGCTGTCAAAATTCTGCTCGTGAGTCTGCTCGTGACTCCTGCTGACTTGAGTGGAGTTTGCACTTGTTGGGGAGAAGTAAAATTTGACCCATGTTACATAGATTTCTAGAAACAAAACAAGCCCCATATGTCTTGAGTTTGTTGGCTTGGTTTTTTCAGTTGGTTTTTTGTTTCTTTGGTTTTCTTAATTATCTACGGCAAATTTATCATGGGTTTAACTTATGCCTTAAGTCAGTGGTAAAGCTCCCTTTGACTTCTATTCCATTGGCTTTGCTTCCATGACCGATAATTTTTGTACCAATATATCTACACACACCAATTAATTAATTGTGTAGCTATTTTATTTTTACTAATTGTGGTAAAGAAAAGCATTTTTCTTCAGAGTTCTCTATCCTCCTCCTATAATATCTGTTTCAAATATTTAACTTTTCATGGACTGGAAATGTAATGCCGAGCAGGCTTTTCATGTCTTAGCTCTGATGTGATAGCAGAAGGATTTGATATAAGCAAAAAAATCCACCATTATTTTTTTTTTTCAGTAGTGAAAAACCTTAGCAGCTCACACTGTTGTAACCTCTGGATGGATCATGCTACTGAAAAAGCACAGAGCAAACTCTTCTGCATAGGTGGTAGCATAGGTGACTTCCAGTCAATTTATTGGCTTTTCCTGGTACCATGTTTAAAGAAGGAATTTCAGGAAAACTGAATTTTGACTGAGTTTTTTGGAAAACACAAAAAACCCACCATAACAATCCTTTTAATAATTTTTGTAGAGACATACAGCTTGTTCTAAGAAAACATTTAAAAGAAATGTATTGCTGGCTTTACTTTTTCAACTGAGACCTCTGGTATCCTGATGTTTGTGTGCTGAAGGAGCAATGAAGGCTTGCATCATTCCTCAGAGCAGGCATTGTACTACCTCCTTTAGGAAAATGGTTTTAATGCTATGGTTTTTATTCAGAAAATTGAGCCTTTCTGCTTGTGTCTGGTGGTAGCTGAGGACTCTGTGTGCTGATGTACCAACTCAAGAGTGCTCTTCGCTCACTCATCTTTCTTCTATTCAACTCTTTCAGAACAACAACTTAACCACTCAAGACCATGAGAGCATTATTGTGGTAAGTATCTTTCTGTCAAAAGCTGAGGACAAATCTATATTGTTTGATAATAGTTCTCTTAGTGCCTGTCTCTGCCCCAGTGAAGTAGGGCAAATGTGAAATCCTTTCCACCACTGCTGCTGAGCTTAGGCGGGAATGAAAACCATTTGTCTATTTTTTTGTGTGGCTTTGTCATTTCTCTTTTCTTGTTTCATAGATGAATTACAATAAAGCTTTCTCTCAGCCTCTGTGAGAGAGCACAGCATGTTGAGTGTTAACAGTCTCTCCAAATGGCCTCCTTAGGAGGCTACACAGCAATATCCATATCTATAGATGTACTTTAAATAGTCCAACCCCATCGTTTCCAGATGTGCCCTATAAAACCCTTAGGCTGAGTAGTTTCCAGAGAGGCTAATGCTACCATATACAGAATGTCTTCACTGCTGAGGGTTATGCGAGCAAGGGATTGTTGTAATTGTTACTCCTTTAAAACCCTGCTAACTTATTTGTAAAAATATCCTCTTCAACTTTTTTCTTTTTTGTAGGTCACATGTATTTAGACATAGAAATAAGTGAATCAAGTGGCAGCTCTGTTGCTTGTGAAACAAAGAATAAAATCTCAACAGTTTATAAGAGAGGTGGAACTTGGTTCGCCATCACTGTGATTTAATTTCATTCTCTGGTAATTTCCAGATTTTCCCAGTAATCTAATCTAGAGCCTCATCACCACCTGATAGTATCATATCTCTGTGACTTTCTGCAAAATTACAAGGTGGCAGGTAGATGCCAGTAGGTGTTAATTGTGTTTAACTGCTGTCTAAGATTCCCTTTTAGATGGAATTAGCCATTGAGATAAGTTTCTGAAGTGGCATTTACTTTCCTTTGCTATATCTTTCATGTAATTCTAGAATCAGGGGTAGTTCACACTCCCAGTTACAACTGGTTGTTTTTGGAGAAAGGATTTTTTAATAAAAGATGTGAGGTGGCCCTTCTGTGAGCAGGGAAGCTGGACCAGGTGGCCTCCAAAGGTCCTTTCAGCCTGTGTTATTCCTCTTTCCTGGGTGATGGCTTCTTCGAGTAGGTTGTGTAGGGGTTGTATTCTCCATCATCCCCTCTGGCCTCCAGAGGAGGAGTGGACAGTTGCCAGAAGGATGGCACATGATAATGAGTATCACAGTTCTGACATATAACCAAAACAGAGCTTTGCAGGTGTGCTTGGGTTTCCTTGTTAAAATTCACACTATCCTTGACCTGTTTGTGTGTGTCTCTGAAACACAGCCACTGCAAGCAGACCCACAGGGTTGAGTAAGGAGATGAGAGGAGGAGCAAAAACCAAAGCAGGCTGCCCTAGTAAAACCCCAGGTGCCATCCAGATAAAATATCTGGTGTTCAGTTGTTTAAGACAAAACGTTCTGGCTGCTGTGTTTAGTGTCTTACATTGAAATGGGTACTGGGAATCCCTGTAACTGAAGAGTGGAAAAGCCCGAAGGCACCACCACATAGAATATATTATTCTGGTACCATTTTCTAATTTACAAAGGAAGTAACAACAGCATAAGTTCATTACCTCCTCAGTGGCAGGTATGACCTCTAATGTGTTTACCCAGCATAAGCACATTGGTTTGCGTAGCAATAAAGGAATGGTTGATCTCAGCTTTTACAAAGTTAGATGCTTGATTTTGATAAATAGGGTCTTCCCAGGTAAGAACAGTGCTAGGTTGCTTTTAGTGAGCTCTTTGTCACAAAAAAGAGCTTCAACTCCTTCACAAAGGATATGTGTATGTGGTGGTGTTCAGTTTTTTTCTTTTAGGGAGAACTGAAACAGTGAGCCAGATTCATCCTTGCTTTATTACATCCTACAGCAATTGGTCTGCTCCTGTTTCCATTTAAACCATTATCAATATTGCACTCCTTTGCCTGTTTTACATATTTACACTGATGTAGTTATAAGCAGAATTTTCCTGAGGATTCATAGCAGAGGTGTGCTTGAGCTTACTTGTAAAATAAACACATGGCCCACCTCTAATTTATCAGTTGATGCTTTTGTCCTTTTCTAAAAGTGAGCTTTTATCCCCCCAAGAAAAACACTTCCTTGCAATATGCTTTCTCCAGTTGCCACCTTGAAATTCAATTTTTCTCTTTTTTCTCCTTTTCTTTTTAAAGGCAATTGCACCTTTGCTGGAAAACAACCATCCTCCTCCTGACCTCTGTGAATTCTTCTGCAAGGTATCAGAACAGCTTTGCTTTCTGAAATCTCATAGTTGTATATGAATGTAGTTCTTTGAGCTAGAGGCTTGTTTTTAACTTCTTACCTCCTGCCCAGATTGAATTTAATTTTTGGTCAGCAAGCAATGATACTAGAATGGTGAACAGGACCATTATGATGAATACAATCATATGCTTAGTATATCAGACTGTTTTGTCCTCATACTGTGTGAGAGTTAAAATTTTGAGACTCCCACGCCTCAGTCTGGGTACAAGAGGTGTCCTGCTGCATGCTGTGTTCAGCTAATGCAGAAATCACTGGAGCTCCTGTGTTCAGATGTGTGTAACTCAGCCTTTATGGTATTTTGTCATTGGGTAATGGCAGTGGGAAGATCATAAGGACCCATCCTCTTTTGGTAAATCCATGCTTGTGCTGCATTTTGTATCCTTTATCCATAAACTTTGGAGTACTTTGCATTGCAGACCTTGTGGATTTAAAAATTCTACTTTTCCTCAAGGCCTGTTTGTGTTTCAGTTTCAAGTCTGCTTAAATTTGCTTACTGATAACTGGGTATGCATTTGTCAAACATTCTGGATGGTGCTTTTAATTCCCATCCAGAGTTATTCATCAGCTGCTTCTTCCTAGAGAAATTGAGTCAATTTACAGAAACTCCTCTGACTTGCAATTGTGTAAGCCCTCTTAGGTCATCAGTAGCCTGATGTAGACTTGATCATTTTTATTATCATCAAGTAGACTTGATGCATTTTTATCCCTGATCTGGGATTTTTTGCCTTTGATATCTCTCAGAGATGGGTGCCTAATAATCTGTGAATGTGTGGTGGGGTGTGTGTCATTGCAGAAGAGGACATATGTTATAGACTTTCCAGAACAGAAGTGGACAGGGTAATGAGAAGGAGATTTTATCTTCAAAATCAACCCTGTCTTGAGCTGGGGTTTGGACCAGATGACTTTCAGAAGTCTTTCCCAACTCTGACTGATGCATTATGATTATATATTTCATCCTGTGATGGGTTGTTGGTACCTTCCAAGGTCCACCACTTTAGCCTGGATCCCAGAGAAAGGTTTATGACATTACACTGCCTGTGTGACCATATCTTCCTTATCCCATATCCCCAGTCCCTTTCCTTTTTAAACTGTTGGCAATAAGACCCCAAAATTGTACATTGCAGTGAGTTTTGGGAATAATAGGCGACAGGGAAAGGAATTTGCAGTTTGTGAGCTGTCATGGGAATCTTCTGCTAGATGCCAGCAAATCCATAGGAATGAGCAGTGTTACGAGTACCTTAATCTCAGGAAAGATTAATTTAGCCCTTGGATCTTGTTAATTTTGGGGTAATCCATGCATGGGGTGTGAAGGCAGGGGACACCCATCTGTATAATTTCTGCAGCTCACAAAATGACCTGTTGCTCCTTCCAGCACTGCCGAGAGCGCCCGCGGTCCATGGTGGTGATCGAGGTGTTCACCCCAGTGGTCCAGAGGATTCTCAAACACAACATGGTGAGTGCTCGTGCCGCGGGTGCTCCAGCAGTTTGGAGAAGTTTTACTGCCATACCTTTTGTGAGCAGCAGCTGCTCTGTTGCCTGTAATGCACTGTGGTACCTAAATCTGCCCCCAGACTGTGAATGCTGCTTGTAATTGTGTGTTACTTCAGCAGTGCAGAACTAATAAGCTTTCAGTGGGATCTTCAAAAGCATCTAAGCAAAGCCGTGTTTTGAGGGATATTTCTTTTGGCAGCAGTGCCTGCATCTGCAGCTCCAGCTCTCTCCCACCTGGCCCTTGGCTCCTTATTTACTCCCTGCATGCCATCCTTGCAGTTAAAGCAGTTTAAAATCAAATAAATAACAAAAGCAGAATGGGAACTTTGTTCATTTTGAGCTGGGGCCCTCAACACTTTTCCTTTAGGACACCACCAGCCCTCTTGGTTTCCATTTTTCTTTAGGCTCATGTCCAGTGAGTACTTACATCAGTTTCATGAATCTCTTCATACTTTTCTACTGCTATTCTTCCTTCCTTCCTTCATTGCAGGATTTAGGTACTCTGTCATTGTGTGGCTGTTCTTACCCACATTCTCTGTTCTCATTGCTGGTCAATCCCTTGCCAGTGTTTGAAATAAATGCCCTGCTTTGCTTTACACCCTATGGACCAGATTCCCCTTCCCCAAACTGAAAATATTCTTACATGATCCATATTCCTTTCTTAATAGATGTCTGGGGTATTTACCAGCTCTCCAGCTTTTGTGGCATATTAAGTTTCCTGTCAATGTTTTTACTTTACATGAAGAAGTCTTACTTCACAATGCAGTGGAAAAGAATAACAAATAAATAAATAAAATAAAACATTTAAGGCAGTTGATTTGGTTGTGATCTCAAGGATGAACCTCTGTAACTTCATAATCAACTTCTTTTCATTTTTTTTCATATAATTTTAGCGACCATCTGTTGTCATGCTGTGATTAGCATGAACCCAGTAGAAAACAGTTTATATTCCTTATTTTTCCAATCTTATTATTTAGCTCCCTGAGTTTACAGAACTAGGTAGAAAACCCAAGATGGCAAAAAGGTCATATTTCTCTGGCTCTGTGCCAGTACTCTGCAGACATGTAAACATTTTTGAATATTCTGTAGTGTTCAGTGAAATATTCTGTAAATGTTATTCTTGGATTCCAGACTGATTTTTTTAAAGCATCCAGAGCTCTTGAGGGGTCTCAAATAAAATCTAAATGCATAGTGTAATGCTTGTATTTGGTTAGCTTCAGAGAATTGGGTATATTTACCATACTTAACATTTGCAGATTGAAAATCAACATGTCTGTACCGCAGTGTGTAGTCGGAGAATTTATGGTGTCAGGTATTAATTGGAGTGGATTTGGGCTCTTTACCACTCTCTGGGGACTTCTGTACTGAATAGTGCTTTAGAGAGTGTGTGTATGTGTATGCACATAAATAAAGTTACTCTTTAGGGGGACACTAAACTTCATCACTTCAGGAGGCCCCGTGCAGTCCTTGGGGCAGGAGACTGAGCTGGCTCTTCCCACTTTTGCCTTCAGTTTGTTCTGTGGCCTTTGAAAATTCCCAACGAGTTTTCTCTACAGTTTTCAACCTATAAAATGGAGAAAGAATCTCTCATTTCTCTCTGATTTTAACATCTCAGGACAAGGATAGGTTTTTGCCTTGGTGGTAATACTGGTTATAGGACTGCAGGCTGTTGTGTGCCGAGTTGTGTGAGGGGTGCTCAGCAACCTCCCAAACTTTGGGTTTTAGCTGTTTGTAGGCTCAGTCCAAATGTTTGAATATGAGCACTTCTTTCTTTTTTCCTTTTTATTTTTTTGAGCAAACAGTATTTGTGGTGTGTATTGTTCTGTGCTTGGTATGTGATAGGGCATTATATTAAATTTAGAGAGATATTTTATTTTACAGAGGTCAGCAATGGAATCCTCTTTTATGATCTCTTGGACTTTGATTCCAACTTCAGTTATGACACCTAGACGGGTTGAAAACTTTCATAAGCAAATTGCTTATGAAAAAACTGTCTTGCAAGGCATGTTCATGAAATTAATCAAATGTTCTATGAAGTACACATGGGCTCCTGCCCTTGGATCAGGTGTGTTTGCACCTGCCAGAAGGAGCTGTTAAAAGTTTAATGATGTTAATTGTAATGATGTGGAATTGCCCACAGTCCCTTTGCTGGGTGAAGTTACCACGCAGCCATTCGGTACCAGCAAAGTGACACTGAGGGCTTGAAGGAGACATTGTTCAGCCTGAGCTTGTTTTCAAGTTTTTGATTGTTTTCTCTGGCTGTAAAACTTATCAGGTCTTAATACAGGTTGTGCTACAGAAGTGCCTGGAACCAAAATGAGTCATGTTTCAATGCTCTGTGTGTTTATCATCTCGTTTACAGACCACCACTAGTTCATTACTTTTTGTGGCATTTTTTTAACATTTCAGTTGCCATGTATTTTTTTCAGGATAACTTCCACAGGGAGCTGCTGGAAGGATAGCTGGGAGTGCTTGTTTGTCCTCAGTGGACCTTGTTCCCCACTTGGAAATTCAGCTCTGTAGTTCTGCAACACCTGTGTAATAAGGTTACACCTGTGTAAATGTGAGGAAATTTGCTGTGGAATAGCACTCACCAGACAGCAAAATCTACTTCTTTCACATCTAAATATAGCAAGTGAAGTGAGGAGATGCAGGATTTCAGTTAGCAGGTGCCTCTCTGACTGCAGGATTTAAAGAAAGTGACTCTTGAGCTCACCTGTCAAATTCACAGTGTAGCTGGAGTAAAATCCCTGGAGAAAAAACTGATCTCTGGTTTTATACTTGATTGCTTATTGATAGCATGTCAGAATTATTTTCTCTAAAACCAGAATAGATATCCATGCCAAACATGGAAATATAATATTTTTTGAGTTTTATTTCTAGAAATCTGCAGTTAGGCATGGAAGCAAAAGCACCAAACAAAAAAGGTGTTTCAAAATCAAAATATTAAGTGAAAAGTACAAAACAAATGTAAGTGTAGGTGAGATTTTTTGGTTTTAGTTGTTTCATTATACAGAACTTTGTTTTCAAAGTGGGTATAAAGGAAAGAAGAGATTGAAAACACTTTCATTATTAGTGGGTAGAGAATATTACTTCAGTGTGCAGAGATGCTCTTCTCTTGAAGCTTGTCAGCATAATAGCAATGTGAATTCAGTTGTGTTTGAGCTGGTTTCTTTTGAAAACCCACAGTTTCGATGTGCATTCACCATCTTCACCGAGTCTCTCCTTCTTGGACAGGATTTTGGGAAGTGCCCTCGGTTGCGGCTCTTTACTCAGGAGTACATTCTGTCTTTGAATGAGCTGAATGCTGGAATGGAGGTGGTGAAGAAGTTTATTCACAGGTTAGTTACATTTAATTTATGCTGCATTTCCAATCCTGTGTCCATGCTATGGTGTGTTATTTCTCCCAACCCTGCTTTACTGGCTGTTAACGGTAGCTGGTGCTTTTCTGCAGAATGATTCAAATTAACTTTCAAGCTCATAATGCTCACTCAAGTGTGAGATTTTGGGAGGACTTTAGGGATACCTCATCACTTAAATTGATGATTCATAAATAGGACTATTGGACTTACAGGGTTAAAAATCTCTCTGTTATGGCCCTTCTGAAGATCCCTTAAGAGTGCCTATCCAGGTCTGTCACTTCATTCTGTCTGACTGGTTTTGCCCACAGAAATCTTCCTCACAATGATATAATCTTGTTTTTTTTCAGCATGCATGGTCCAACAGGACAGTGCCCACATCCCAGGGTCCTGCCAAATCTTGTAGCTGTCTGCTTAGCTGCCATTTATTCCTGTTACGAGGAATTTATCAACAGGTCAGTATGAATTCCCAGCTGACCACGTTTCTGCCTTCCAAACCCACAACACCACTAAGCAAGGTCAGCGTGAGATGGGAGTGCTAGAAAACCTGAAAGAAACTTCATTCCCTGGTACTCACCAAGGAGTGCTTAGGGAGTGAGGAAAGGCAGGTGTGAGACCTTGAAGAAGGGGTTGTGTGTAAATCCCTGTGTATCTGCAGCTTTGAACCTGAGCTGGTTTCACAACACTGTCTCCGTTATTGTGGAAAATCTGATTCCTCACTTGCCACAAAATAGACGCTGCAGCTCTTGACACATGAGCCAGTTTCCAGTAGACACTGAGGGTTCCCCTCTGTTATGTTTCCTGTTTGTTTATGCCTATCTGACTTTCCTCATGGTAGAGCACGGACAGGGGCTGCTCAGTGTCCAACACAAATTCCAGACACGAGGGCTGCAGACAAATGTCTGGGCATGTACTATAGCCAGATACATACTTGGGCATGGATTCTGTTACAGCTTTGCACGACTTGGACAGAAAAGTTCACCTTTAGACTAAACTGGTCTGTCAATTAGTCTGATGAAAAGCTCAAATCTTTGTCAAATAGGGGCTGCAGAACAGTCCTATTGGAGCTTTTTAATGTTTTTCATTTCAGTAATCCAACTGCACGGAAGAAAGCCATCCAGTGGGCTGGGGTGAAAGGCAGTGGGAAATTGCAAAAAATTGTGGCTTCTCAGTGTTGCACTCTCTCTCCCTCTCTCTGCTGGTATGTCTGTCTACTGAAATGATTTGTTTCTTCTTAAAATTCAGTCGGGACAATTCGCCAAGCCTGAAGGAAATTCGGAACGGCTGCCAGCAGCAGTGTGACCGAAAGCCCAATCTCCCCCTCCGCCTTCTTCACACGAGTCCTGACCTGGTCTCTCAGGAGGCCACCTTGACTGAATCCCGTCTCAAACCAGTTATTGTCACTTCCAACGAGATCCACGTGGAAGTGGAGCGCAACAACACAGCCAACCAGAAGATGACGGCCGGCGTTGGCAACGACAGCGAGCCCAACCTCATCGACTGCCTGATGGTCAGCCCCACCTGCAGCACCATGAGCATCGAGCTGAGTGCCCAGGCAGACAGGATCCTGGGCTGCTACGTGGAAATACTCAAGATGCTGTGAGTGACTGTTCTGAACAGCTTTTAGAACAATGTCATCTTAACAGTGGGGGGGCTTTTCCCACAGGCCTTTTGTCTTCAGCATCTGTGGCTAGCCAGCACATGGTTATAAATCTTAACTCCAGCTCTGGAGAGTCCAGCCTTTGAAAGAGGCATCTGGCACTGCCAAGATGTTCTAAAAATAGCATTAGGAAGATGAAAATGGAAAGCTTATTTGTACAGTGAGCCTCAGGCATTTTACAGAAGATGGGATGTTGGTGCCAGTGGTTTCTGCTTTTGTTCTTGCCCACCAAAAATAAATTTAAAAAACCCATTTGTCTCCTCCAGGGCTCTTGGGATTGCCTAAGAGAGAGCTAGAAAAGGTCTATGCTAGGTTCAGTGTTTGTGCAGTGATAGGCACTGCCCTGATTTTAGCAGGAGTTGGATGTGGTTATTGTTGTTCACTTAGATGTTCTTTCTTTGTGTGCTTATAGAAGTTTTATGGCTTATTCATATTTGCTTGTATTAGAGTGGGGTCTCTGTCCAGTTGCTTTGGTACAGTGGATCTGTATTAGGCCCCAGGTGTTCAAACAGTCTGTGTCACAAAATGGTGGCAAGCTGATTCCTGGCAGTCAAATCTGAGTATTTTAAACAGGAATACGAAGGCAAATGTTCTTCAGGAAAAGCTTGGTTTTCTCTGGATAAATATGTGAAAAGGAATAACAGAAAAGGTGAGCTGCAGAATGGGAGTGATGGAAGTGCAGTAAAACACCTTTGTTGACTTTGACAGCTGGCTCTGATACCGAGTTGCAGTATGTTTTGTGGCAAACTGTTAAACTTCTACATTAATTCTTTTTAAACAGTGTGAGGTTTAATGAAGTCATAGTTGAACTACTTAGAATACAAGGCATGGTGAGTGAAATCTGGACTCTGCTGTAAACCATGAGCATGTGCCTACACTGCAGACAAATGCACATCTGGGGTTACACTCTCAAGGAATAAAATGAAGTCAAAACTGCTGTGATGGAGGATTTTGTGAAGGTTTTGTCCCGCATTTTCATTATTTTTCAAAATACATAGTACAAATTTGCAGCATCATTCTTCCACTCACTGCACAGTTGACTCGCAATTACTTAAGCACTCATTCAAAACTGGAGACAGGACAAATGAATACCAGATACTGTTCCCATTAGATTCTTGAGCAGGAAGTTGCTGTGAAGGCTAATTTTGTATATTTTTTTTTCCCTGTGGCCTAGGTTCTTCTACCTTTAAAAATGATTGCATTAAAAAAAATTTACAGCATCTGAGTTTGCTTCATCTGGGGGCTTCTAAGTCTCCATGCACCCAGGTGCTACATTAAACACATCGTGTATTTATTCCTGTCCCCTTGACTCTCCCTGTTTTCCATAAACACTGTGCACTCTCCCAGTCCTGATGCTGGTTTGGATGCTGACTCACTAAGCATTGACGGTTTTGGTTTCATCATGCAGCTGACACACACTTATAAACAAATTCACAAACGGGCATGTTCTTCCTCACAGTCTCTCCACTTTTAAACATTGGATATGCCAGGTCCCAATTCCCATTTAATTTGCTACGCAAGGAACTCGTTTCTCTCCATACCTTAAAATAATCCATATTTTGGATGCATTTCCTATCTTTTTAAAAAGCAAGTTGTTCAGCAGCAGCAATGAAAATGGGAAAATGAAATGTTAGAGGTGTTGTAGGTGTGGGGCGGCTCTGGGCCTTTTTCTGCTTGTACAACAGTTCTGAAAGGTGAAACCCGCAGGATGTGCACAGTGTGGGACCAGTGATTACACAAAACTGGTGCAGCTCTCCTCAGAGTGCCTGCCAGAGCCCGTACCCTGCTTGGGAAATCACAACCTGTGAGAATAAAGGGCAGCTGCTAAGGCAGAGCTGTGGCTGTAGCTCCGCTCATTTGAGTTCCCTTCCATTCTTGTTCGTCCCTTGATTTTTTTGATGCCTAAAATGCAGAATCTGCTCCTGATTCTGACACTGGCTCACTGGGAGGTTTCAGATAATTCACTTTCAAATGCCTCATTTTCCTTATTTGTAAAATAAAGGTAAAGATTTTCAATGTTGTTTTTTAAATGCCAAAACCAGTGATGGAAAAGCATTCCAGAAGGGCTTGTAGCTATTACCAAAAATACAAGATAATGCTGTTGTGATGTTGATTACTTTCATGCTCTAACTCTTGAACAAAGGGTTTGTGTTGCATGAAATACTATTACTGTACTTTGAAAATCTGAGAATATGAAGAAAGAGAGTTGAAGAACATGCCAGTAGGAAGAAAACATTAATTATAAAACAACTGCTATCCAGGAGCTGAGCTCTCAGCGGGCATCCGGTAAAATAATGTTCTTATTAATAACAGTGGTAAGCCAAACATAAATAAGTTGCTTAGCATTGAGTTTGATTGTTCTTTTAGGTGTCTGACTCAGTATCATCATCAAAACAAGAGAGTCACCAGCGATTATATCTTTTTTACATAATTAACTTAGGGCAGCAGGGAGTAATTTATTTAGGCAAATTTTAATTATTGGAAGTCTAGCAAATAAGAATTCTCAACAGTAGCTTCAACAAAGGACATTTTGTTGTTCACCTAACTCTTAAACAGTGCTTACATTTTGGGGAAAACACTTCTAGTATTGGTGAAGACACTTTTTAGCAATCACTGTAATACTTCACTTTTTGCACAGAAAGCTAAAAGGGCAGTTTAGAAAGTTTGTCTGTGGGGCTCTTACAGCACCTAGAACATCTTTGACCCTTTTTCTAATGTAGTTGAGTAACAAAACACAACTATTGCATACTAAAGGAAAATAGAAAATCATGATTTTTAAAGATGTTGGCAGATGACCCAAAGTCTGGGCAGATTTTAAAGGATACATATTCTCTAGAGTAACACAGTATTTTGGTCCTGCACTCAAAAGTGGATCAAACTTCTGTGTCAATATTCTGTAACTCATTCTGGACTCTGATAGTGTTAGTGACACCAGCCAATGCCTTCTGAATGCTATGAGTCTTAAACTGGTGTGTAGTAAATGCCCTAAATTAATTGAAAAAATTCTGTTCATCATATTAAATTAGAGGCTCTAAGAACAGCTCAGCATTGTCCTGCTCCTACTTGTTAATGTTTCCATGCATTTGGGAATGTCTTGTACAGCCAAACTTGTGCTTGAGCAGGACAGCCATGGTTAGAGAAAGTTGCAGTAGAAGGGGCTGTGTGTCCTCTCCTTGAGCTGGAGAACTTAGTTTTCTTTCACCTGAAGGACCCCACTGGTTCCAGAGGGTGAGGAGACACCTCAAGTGTCTCTGCAGTGAAATCTGGGTCAACAAATAGTAAGGTCATCTAGTTGTGAGAGCAGACCCCTCTTGGGGAAGCTCTGTTGGTGTTGTATCATAAGCTGTTACCCTTTGTCTGTGTTATTTTTTGTTTCCATGGCTGCTTGTAGTGGCAAGAGTCTGTCCAGATGTCCAGACACTTGTACCCCTCTCAGGGGCCAATGTCACAACCTGTTTTGGGCAACCTTGTGTTGCTGTTTCCTGATGCCAACTGTGAGCAGTGGAGCCCCTTTCTGTTCTCAGCAGTAAGGGCAGAACCTTTCTAGGCTCTTTCAATGGTGCTAAATTTTCTTCTTTTGAAAAAGCCAATCAAGCCCATCTCAGAAGAAGGCTGAGCATGAAAAGGCACCTCACTGTTTTGCAGGTAACAGGTTTGTGCCTTGTATTGACAAGGGGTCTGATGAGGCTTTTTCTCAGCCTGCCCTGGCACCCTGAGCTAAACCTTAGGCCATACAATTCAGAGAGTTAAACGTAGAGCCAGGGAAAGAAGGGATCAGGTACATGTCTGGGGGTATGGTCACATTATCTGACAACAGAGGTTACCATGTCAATCTGCTCAGTCTGGAGAACAAGCTGCTTCTAAGTAGTTGCTCTGTCTCTTCATTATCCTCCAAAAAACCAAGGGCTTGGGGCTTGCAGTGTCTCAGAGATGAGAGCCACGGCTTTCCAAACACAAGCACCCACTGGAGCTTCCCCTGGCTGCTCTGCATTCCCCAATAGGTCAGTGGCATGCTCTGAATATCCCAAGTGGATTATCCTATATCATGTTTATCGAGGTTGCCCTGGGCTGCTCGTATGTTTTGGATTGTTTGTGCCGCACATGACATGCGGGCAGGTTTTCATTTTGGTGAAAGGTGATCCCGGGGAAGGAAAATGTATTATGTTGGCAGGCCAAGAGCGATGATGGCCCCGAGGCAATGTCACTGCAGTCGGGGATTATTTAATTAATTTGGTTGTTCTGTGCTCTGGCCAGTCCCCTAGGACAGGTTTCAGGGTGAAGGAGGCTGTGTGCAGTGGCAGGTGATGGTTCTGATCTGTCACCGCCTGGCTCTGTGACCACCCCGTGATTCCCAGGAACTTGCAGGTCAGGCTGCAGCCTGGCTGCTGTGCTGCTCACCTGGAATTGCAAATCCTGCAAAAATCAGAGCCAGGGAGTCGTTGTCCCCCTTTTCTAAGGCCAGTTCTGGGACTGGAGCTGTGTGATGAGTGTTGAGCCCAGCGCCCTTTGAAGAGCTGGGGAGGGAGTTTGTCCCAGGCGCTGTCCCAGGATCTCCCTGTGGCTCTGTGCTCCCTCCTTCTCCTGGCCCAGCCTCTTTGTCTGGCTCATTGCAGTGGTTGTTAACTGCAACCAGAACTAATCCTTTAATAAGTAGTTTAGTTTTATTCTTGTGCTGTGTTTGTTTCATGTTTCCTAGCTCAGATTGAAGGGATTACAGGCTGTGCAGATTTTATGTTCAGGTCCCACTCACGCAACCAAATTTTATATATTTCAATAGGAGACAGTTTCCTTCCTTTCTTTTTTCCTTCTCCTCCTGGGGAAACAGACTGATTTATTTTCACTGCCCTCTCACAGACCTGCCCTATTCCCCAGCTTTGAGAAAAGTCAGAGTGATACTGTCCCATTCTGTCTGCAGTTTCATTCTATTACAAAACAACTTTTTTGTTACTCTTGCAATTTCCTTTGAAGCTCGGCCATGAAAAATTGATTGGTTCATATTATTAGTAACCACAACTCTCCAGATTGCTCAAGAAGGAACTTCAGTGGTGTAACACTTAGCCTGAGATGTCGTAGGAGCTAAGCCTCAAAGTGGGTCTCAGCTTCTAACCTTCTGTTAGAAAAGATTTGTAGGTGCTTTGTCTCATGTGATGTGAAGAACCATTAGCACCTCTGAAATTTTCTAACTCAGTCTTTTGACTTCTGAGTCTCTCCTGCTCAAAAATCTGCTTTTAGAGTTGTTTGTATCTACCAATAAAAAATGTGTTGTTTTTAGAATAAAATCAGTTAGGAATTTCTAAAGGGTATGCATATTTAAATAAAATAAAATGTCTGGACTCTGTTCTCACACCTGACAAACGTAGTGAGAGCCAGGCTGTGTGGTGAGACCTGTGGCACTTCTCAGGGCTGCAGCTATACATAGGTTGCATCAGCTCTCTCCTACAGACACCTGGTACTTAAACAAGAGACTTTTAGCTGAACCTGAACACAGAGTTCTGTGTCACCAACCCATTCAACGTGTCTGCAAGTCAGAAACAATGGATAATCTTGTAGATAGCTTTAATTAATCAAAGCTTTGTTGAAAGAACCCAGAAAGCTCATCTTACAGATGCTGTGTCAAAGATTTCCTTTCCTTATTTCAGTTTTATTACAAGCCCCATCCTCAGGTGTGTCGTGATATTCATTTTACACCGACTAAATGGAAAAACAACCCCTGTAATGAAGTCCTGCTTTATGTCTTGCTGTTCTGACACATTAAACAGAGTTGATCATCTTCCCTATTTGTTCGGTGGTTAAGCAGGTGAGGGACTTTTTGTCTCTGGAAAGAACCTTATGAATATGTGATTACTCTTGCTGCCACTGACTCACACTCACTTTAGGTTTGTGAGACACCCCTTCTCTCAGAGTTGCCCCTAGTTTAGACCTGAGAACAGAATTTTTCATAGAGGAGAAAATTAGGTTCACTGGATTCTGGCACAACTGGAACGGACACAAGGTTTCTTTTTTGGATTACTGTAACTTCACATGTGTCCTTCTGGTTCTTAGTACACTAAACCTCTGTCAGGTCACAGTGGTCCTCATGGGTTGGTTGCTTACGTGACATATCACACATTTGTGTGAGCTGAACTCATACTGCTCTTGGGCAAGTGGTACATACTGCAAGTGGTAACTGCTTCCCTGCCTGATTTTTACATCATGATTCTCCATTCAAGTAAAACTTGTCTGCATGTTGCTTCTTAAGAGTACCCTGCTCATGCATTTAAATTTTCTTTTTCTGTAAACACACCTCTGTGGATTGTCCAACATCGTGTGTGTTACTAGTTTATGGGTATTTCTGGTTTATGTGGTTCAAAAGATGGATGAGACTTTTGGAAATGCATCCATCTTCAATTTCTCTGAGCTAGAACTTTCCCTTTGCAAAAGTGCATTCTTTTGGAACAGTTCCTGTGCATATGTTGTCTGTCTGTAATGCTATCAGTAGATACTGTCCATTTGAGAACATTACACTTCGTTCCTTCCCAAAGACACACCACACTTTTGTGCCAAGTTTCCAGTAAGCTGCAGCCAATACTCTAGGTTTTAACACTGAAATCCAAAAGGTAGTAGCGCTAAGAGGAGGTGGCAGGCTCTTCTACATTGTTTCTAGTCACCCCCCAGTGTTTCAGCCCATGTGAGATTAACTTCTGTCTGTACTCATTGTTACTAATGGGACTGAGAGCCAAGGTCTGGGCTTTGGTGGGTGGGTTTTGGGTCAGAAATGAATTTAGGGGTAACTTTGTTTTTACAAATGGACTTATGCCTTATAGCAAAATAAAATTCCAGTTAAATGTAGAGAAGAGCTCAAAATAGCAGTGGCCTGGTAATTGCTCTACCAGCTTAGATGAAAGTATTACTTAGTGATTAAATGTCAACAGGTTTCATAAACAGCAAATGTCTTTAAGTTGACATAAAGAAGGCCTCTCTGGAGGTCACTGTAAATACCAGATTTATTGTGCCTCAGTGGAGAATGTGCTGAAAATGGAAAGGGAAATGTCACTGTAGATTCTGAGCGTGCTTCAGTAAAACAGAAAGGTTGTTGGTGCCCACAGTAAAAAGCTTTTAACTCCTTGAACTAACTGTTGGTAAACCATACTTAAAACCTGGTAACCTGTTAACAAAATGTTCATTTTGCAGGTCAGACTACGATGACTGGAGACCAGCCCTGGCCAGTTTGCTTCAACCTATCCCGTTTCCCAAGGAGTGAGTTTTCACTGTCTTAGTATTTACTGGCTTGTTCTTGTTACTGTTTTTATATGGTGAAACATACGTCAAGTAAAAAGGGGTGGTAATAGGAGTTTTGTGCCTCTGGTATTGATTTAGAAACTGAAGTTGATTTTTGGCTGATGCAGAGGGATGTGAAGATCTCCCCATGTTCAACTTCCTTCCCCGTTTCTCTCAGATGATCCTGAAAAGAAATATGGTTAAGTAGAGCCAGGCAGACAGGAAGGGAAGGAAAGCTGGTGAGGAGGAGAGCAAAGTGAGAGATTTAGTGGAGGAGGATGCTTTACTGGCGTCACAGAGACTCCTGTCGTTTGTATTTTGCGTTAAATGAAGAAGTTGCCCTACGGATCAGCCGAGCTCCCTCGGAAACCTATTAATGAGCAGTGGTGTTTATAAAGTGCAGACCTCCATGGACAAAAATTACAACCTGTAATTGTACAATTTGGTGGCTTATCACATCCCCTAATGACCTGATGTCTTGAATCACAGAGGTCTAATCCTCCATGCCGGGTTACCTGGGCTACAGTGAGAGCTTGGAGATAGGTAACAGAGACATCATTACCTAAGTCAAACGTGAGTCTTGGGGGAGCTGTAAACCATACCATGATGCAAGGCACTTGACAAAATGACCATTAATTGCTTTACTGATGTATGATGCTAATTAGCTGTGACCATACGCTAACTGCATTGCAATTAAAGAATACACCTGGCTCTCAGAGGTAGGCAAACCTCTGTTTGTAATTATATAATGGTACTGTAAGTTTTTTACTTTCTTCTGACCCAAAGCTCCCACTGATGTTAGTCAGAGCCTTGTCTAAGACACACTCAAGAAAAGCTACAAGATTTGTTCCAAGCAATTTTTCCCCCTAGGTTAATGAAAGAGGATTTAGCTGATTTTTTTGAAACTTTTTTTTTTGTCTTATGTGCTGCCGTTGCTTAGCAAGTCCTTTTATTATCTGGAAAGAACTGAAAAGTGCTTGTTTGGTTTTTTGGGCTTTTCCCCCCCCCTTCTCTCCTTTCTCTCAGATGCTCATACTCTTTTGTTTTCTGTTTTAAATTTCAGGGCTCTCGCACATGAGAAATTCACAAAGTAAGTTTCTGGGGCTCCTTTGTTTTATTGAATAAATGCTTGTACTAGTCAATAATAGCAATGATGCATTATTCAGTATTGTGTCTCTAATGGCTTTTATCTGTGAAGGGCTGTAGGCATGTTCTGTTAGCAATAAAAAGTTCTCTTTGTAATTTATTGTGCTAGCCAGGAGCCCAAGGACTAAAGCCACTGGGTGCTGATAGAATTTACAAAGGAGTTTGTCAATGCACGTCTCTGAAACATTTTCTAGGCTATTGTGAACAGATACTGTCCTTGGTAATCACTTTCAGGCATCATATTTCCCTCCTGCGGAAGTTTAGCTGGTTTCTCTCTGAAATACATTAATATATATATGATTTTAGGTGTTACTCAAAAGAAATGTGATGCTTGTGCAAATACTGCAACCAGCAACTACTGATTCTTATCCTCCTTGCACTTATTTTTTTCAGGGAGCTGAAATACGTGATTCAGAGATTTGCAGAAGACCCGAGGCAAGAAGTGAGTTTGTTGGCAATTTACACAGAGTACTAGTTTGGAGGGATTGCAACTGCACTTGTTCAGATTTCTCCTTAAGTAGTTTGTTCCAAAACACAGCGTGGATTTACCCTGCCTAAGTCTCTTAAGGAGTAGTGGCCACTCAGAGTGGTTTATGTGTAAGGTTTATGTGTTGTCACCTCCTTGTCTGGCATCAGTTGATGTCCTTGTTCTGCAGTAAACTGCAACCAGCAAGATTTTCCCCCTTTCTGGGATCACTCAGAGCTTTTTGTCTTCCATACAAAAATAAGAGGGAAGCAAAATCCATGGATCCACGCAGCTTACAAAATAACAGGTTTTATGTAGCTGTGTTTCAGCTAGGTTGTGTGCAAATGACCGTAATTCTCATGAATTGGCAGCAGAAAGGGGTGGGAGGTGTGTTACTGGGGTGAGAGTGTCGCTGCAGCCTCGGAGCTGCACTCAGAGCCTGCTCAGCATCATCAGCTTTGGCTGAGTCAGAGGGAACCTCTCATCCACAGTTATTCTTTCTTTTGGCATCAAAGCCAAAAAAGCTCCCTCAAACTGTGGGTGAAGCTGTATCATCGCTGCCCAGAATCCTCATTTTTATGGGTTTAGCTCTTGTGAGCAGTAGTTACCCTTGTCAGAAGAGACCTTCTTGTCCTAGAATGGCACCAGGATTTCATCTGTCACTAGCATTCTGTGCCCAAAGGAAAGAATTTACCTCCCACACACAAACACACCTCAAAAATTGAAATGGAACATCTGTTTCTTCAACTGAAGGAAAAAAAAGAAAAGAAAAAAGAGCTTAATTATGACTTCTCTATTAAATTGTGGGACTAAATATAGTAATATCTTCAGTGGGCCAAATTTAGACTAATGGTTGCTCACTGGTGCCAGTTTTCCAGTGCAGCTTCCGTGTTATATATTCCTTATTTCGTGTTATGTCGAGTTTTCCCTGTGGATTTCCTTCACCCCGACTCTGGTCAAATTTTGTTAGAGCAGGAGTAATAAGAATTGTTAATGATTGGAATGAGCAAGCTATCAGCCACCACATTTGGTATGCAGATCACATCAGATGTATAGACACACATGCTGGGAGTACAGGGGGAAAATGACAGAAGCTGAGAAATTTGTGGGGGTTTTTTGTTTGGTTTTCTGGTGGTGGTTTTTTTTCCAAGTGAAAGGAGCTGTTCTAGGTTTGAGCCATTTTGTGTTTGATTTGTATAGAGAATGAAAAGGGCCATGCAATAAGGGAGGATGCAGCTTCCCTCTTGGTTATACTGAAAAAATGGGTTCTGGGAGTGGAGACTGGCCTGCAGCTCTGCAGATTGGAATATTAACCATGAAATTTCCAGCAGTCCCTGGTTATGCAGTTACTTTTGGCCCGGTGTGGGAGATGCTGGTGGTTATTGGCAGGAAGTGTAACCTTCCCAATGTTTTCACTTCTTGGCAGGTCCACTCGTGTTTGCTGAGTGTGAGGGCTGGCAAAGACGGCTGGTTCCAGCTCTACAGCCCTGGAGGAGTGGCCTGTGATGATGATGGAGAGCTCTTTGCCAGTATGGTACGTGTCTGCAGTGATGGGAGTTCAGAAACTTCTTTGCAGTAACTAATACTAGTTGGCAGTAAAAAGATTTACTTGTTTTTGTCCAAAAATAAATTATCAAAATCATGTTTTCGTTAACCATGCGTGTTCACCAGAAAATCCAGATCTTTCTGCCACCAAATCCATCAACCTCCCTTGCAGTCACAGTTTGGTTAGCACGTTACTGTTTTCTTTTTGAACCTTGGCATGTTTTCTCACTGGTAGTGTAATACACAAACCATGCTTGTGCATATGTATGTATTTCTGTATTTATAAATATCTGTCTTTGTCTGTATAAAAAAATCTCTCAGGGAACATGAAATACTGGAAGACAGACTGTTCTGTACATCCACACCTATAGTTTACATTTATAGGCTACCCTGGAATTTAAAACCAACAGTTACATTGGCTTAATCAAAGGATGGATGGATAGGTATAAAAAGGTGTTATCAGTGTCACTGCCCAATTACATTGTTGTGAAGAGGTGTAATTAGAAACCAGCATTCCACTTCCAGCAGTTATTTCTTTTGTAACTCTGAGAAGGGCTGGATAGAAAATAGCAGGTTTTAATCAGTGATGTGATTTAAGCACTGTCTTCCTGTGCAGCCTGGGTCAAGTCACGTAGGTCTCTCTCTGTATTAATTCTCCATGTACCAAGTAAGATGGAAATTACATTACTGCCTTTCCCTGGTAAGGGGGAAAACATTTGTTGAAGTTGGCTTTGGTTACATAATAAAGTGACTTTCTACACTTTGTACATCTCCCACATGCTGAACATTTTGGGACATAAGGAACATAGATGTCTGTCTGTACCCTTAAATTCAGATAGATCAGATACCTCTGAAACTGAAAATGGAAGAAGAGTGTTTACAAAAGCTTTCACCCCTCTTCACTGTTCATCTGTCTTTTATCTTTGAAAAGAAAATTTCTCCAGAACTGTATCATTTCTCCTGAGAGATATGGTGGTTCAAGATATTTATGAGCATCAGGAGAGGGTGTGCATGAGAAAGCACAATGCTAACACACATTAATATGCAGTACTCTGTGCCCTTTGCAAGGATGTTGATAAATACTTAAAGAGCTGCTAACAACTAACCATAAAGTTGGAAAAACACCCTGTTCTGAGATGCACCTAATGTTACTCTACTGTCAGTGTCAGTATTTTCCATTGCTCAAGAAAACCTCTAAAAAAACTTAATGAAAACTGCATGAAATTGAATCCCTTTTGGCTTGGAGGTTCACCTTTTTAAAGGCCACCTGAGCTGATGGATGCTTAAGGAAAAAAAGATTCTCTGTTTTTCTGAAGAGTTTGCTGGTAATGAAGCCATGCTTCACATAGAATTGACCTCATCGTGGCACGGTTGTGATATTTTCAGCAGTATTGAACATAGTGCAGGCAGTGCCATGAGCCAGAGGGGCCACAGAAAGTATTTACAAGGTTATTGTAAAGAGTAGTGCTGATGTTGAGTCCACATAATGGAGCTCTTCCTGCCTAGGCTGTTGGAAAATGCAAATTCTCACATAGTGCTCTGCAGCAAATGGTGAATCAGCCATCTGGGCTATGAAATAAGACTTTCTTCTAGGAACCCAGACTTCTCTGCATTTAGTCTCTAAGGCTTTTACATTGGAAATAATATGACCAACTTCTTTTCTGAGAAGAGACATACTTGATTTGTACAAGTGGCTTTGCATTTCTGCCATAGGCGTTACTATGTGATATCACACGGTGCTTTCTGGAGATTGCAGAGAGTCTGCAGAACAGTTTTGTCAGTTCAAGGACTCAAAGGAGTGTCCCTCAGGGGATGTTCTCAGCAGTTCTTTCCTTTAAGGGAAAACTGAGCAAAAGAGAAAGCAGTACAGTGGCCCAAGAGCATGAAAATCCATGAAGTAATCTCTGACTTAGTGCTCAGGACTGCCAGATTTTCTTAAAGCAGTCCTTCCTTCCCCAGTCAGGTCCTGTTCATCCTGAACACCAAGGCCAGCAGATTGCCAGCAGCACTGCCTTTTACCTAGGCAGCCGGCCCACACAGCCCCTGCTCCCCAGCTGGCATTTCCAGAGAAACCGAACCGCAAACAGATGCAAAAGCAAAATCCCCGGTGGTTCCCCTGGGGCTGGGTTCATCAGGTTACTGGGAATGGGGGCAATTGCACAGCTGCTCTGATGTTTCCTGGGGAGCTTCTATCAAGCTGTCAGCTGGGCTCCTTTATGGAGAAAAACTTCCCAGTTCCTCAGATCTCACTGGGCATCACCTTCTTCAAAAAGTCACTTCCATTCAGCAGTAAAGCTGTTGAGACACTGCAACCCTAACTGCAAAGAGAGCTTTCATTCCTTTAAGTTCATTGCAAAGACTTAACACTTTTTGACTGCTTAACAATATCCCTTCCAGAGGTATATGTGTTTCTTAGGCCTACACCCCTAATTTTACCTCTGATTCTTGAATAGGTTCATATTTTAATGGGATCCTGCTATAAAACAAAGAAGTTCCTGCTTTCACTGGCTGAAAATAAATTGGGACCTTGCATGCTGCTGGCTTTGAGGGGTAACCAGACGATGGTAGAGGTAAGCCCTAAAATCATAGATCATAGAGGTTTATGAGCAGTGTTCAGGTTCATATTGCCTTTCCCAGAACTGGCTCTAGCAGGGGTCTGGTTTGTGTTATGTCAAACACCAGCAGTGGGTGGTTGTGTTTCTCTGAATTAAGGGGAGCAGAGTATTGTTGTTCTGTAGATATGAGTGTGAATTAAATGAAAGGTGGGTGCATGAATTTTTGGAGGTAGAGATTGTTTGCTGTAATGCAGCTGGAGAGGTTAGGATGGGAAATAAATGGCCATGGTGGTGTAGGCTGTGGTGAGAGATCACAATTCACAACCACAAGGCTTTTCCATGATGAAATACCTGATTCTTGTCTTGCCACCTGTAAAATGAGCAGTGTACAGGAAGTGCCTTTATAAAACCTTATTTATTAATACACAATTTTATGCATTAATACACAATTTTATGTTTATGATTTGTTTTTTTTTTGTTGTGCTGATAGTTTATATGTATTTTTCTGGGTTTCTTAAGAGAAATTTCTTGATAAATGTCGTTACCAGCAGAAAGAGAGTGGATAAATAGATGGAAAGAGTTACAGTTTTTCATTGTAGATCTGTGCATGCTAATTTAATCCAGTAAATAAAGGAGCATGCTGCTGCATTTGAATATAATGTTGATGGATTTTTTTTTTGTTCATTAAAAATAATTGAAATTGTGAAGGGAATAAAAGCTTTGCATTTTAATTGCAATGGCATGATACATAGCTGAAAAGGAAAGGCAGCTTGTGTCCCAAATCTATTTGACCCACTGGAATCATCCCTTGTGATCTGACTTGCTCCTGGCAGTCCCTTCCCCAGGGTGAGTTGGGTATGTTCCCAGTGAGGTGGGGGATGTCCTGGCCACAGCAGTCAGCTCCCAGCATCCTCTCTTGGAGCCTCTCTGCCCTTTACCCAGTCTCATGGACTTGGTACCCCTCACACGTGTTCTGCTTGCACAGAAACCCCAGCATTAGGGGTGGGAAATCCGGCCCTTAAGGAGCTGCTTGGCTCTGCTGGTGTGCACTGCCCAGCCTGTGGACCTGGGAAATACTGGATCAATTGGACCTGTCCTGGAGAGTGCTGTGCCATGGAGCCATCTCCCAGGTCTGAAGCAAATAATTGCATCTCTCAGTCAGAAGGAGTGAGCATTAATGGGAGGCAGGATAGACACGCTGGTTTTTGGAGATTGCACTTCTTTCCTTACAAATAAAAAATCATTTTCGTGTGTTGGAAGGGCCATAATATTGCTATGATATCCTCTATTCTAACCTCCATAATGCATGCTCTAAAAACTTACACAGGAATTTAAACCACCATGCCCAGTCCAATTAGGATATTTGAAAGAAATGGAATGAAAACCCTGCACTGACCACTCTCCTTTTTTCTGCTGCTAGATTTTGTGTTTGATGCTGGAATACAACATCATTGACAATAATGACACCCAGCTCCAGATCATCTCCACCCTGGAAAGCACAGACGTGGGAAAGAGAATGTATGAACAGCTGTGTGAGAGGCAGAGGGAGTTAAAGGAGCTGGTATGTCACCCTGCACATATTGCCATAGCACGTTGGGCTCTGTGCTCTCCACAAATGGAGGTACAAAAGAAAGACAAGCAGGGTGTGAAATTCCCAGTTAACAACAGGATGGGAGCAGACCTCAAAGGATTTTACTGTGAATATATATACTGTGTGATATTTACTGATGTGACTAATCCCATACTATGTTTATGAATGATATTCAATAACCTGCTTAGGATCCGTGTGAAGGAATAAAGGTGAAACCCTGCTGTCTCAGGATCTTACAAGTCAGCTTGTCAAATTCTGCCACCTTTTGACATATGAGTAGCAAATGGTTCTGGTGCTGGCCAGCATTTCTGAATGCTCTGGCATTCACAGCATTTCACTGAGATGGTCTTTAGGTCTAGTTCTCAGAGCTGGAGCCTATAGAAAAGGTTTTTTCCAGAATTTAAGGAGAGGACCTACAGATTTAAAATGGACCTGCTCACATCAGCACTTTTTCACCTATGCAAACATACCCACCAACTTCCTCTTCCAGATTTATATTTGTCTTTAACCCCTGCTCCCAGCCTGAGAAGTAGATGCTTTTTTTGAAGACAGGCAAATGATTTTATCAGCTGCGCCATCCTAACCCCTTTGCTCACTTTGCCCAGCATTTTAAAGCTGTTTCCTTTAAAGTGAAAGTAGCCAAATGCTGGCAGGCTGAAGCAGACAAATGGCATGAAGACCCACTTAGCTGTGGTTAGTCAGTGTCCCCTGGGGAGCCACAGGCACACTCAGTGCAGGGAAAGCAGGGATGAGGTGGAAGGGCTGGCAGGAAGCTTTGAAATGGGAGCAGGGTTTGCTTGCTGTACTTCAGTGAGTCTGAAATGTAGAATGGCAGCTTGTTTGACCAAAATATCTTCTCTTTTACAGCAAAGAAAAGGTGGCCCCACAAGGTTAACACTGCCATCCAAGTCCACAGTAAGTTAATCTTGTCAATAGAAAAACAAGCTTTGTCTTTCCATATTTAAACCCTTGATTTATGTTTGCCATGTGGCACAGTGGTTTTGGGCAGTTGAGTGGGGAGCCATTCCACTTGCTCTGTCAACACAACTGGAGTTTACACAACTAAGGGCACATTTCTGCTCTTGGGTCTGTGCAGCAGTTTCCAACACCAGCAGCAGGCTGTCACATTTACAGTGCTGCTCAGGTTTGGAATGGCAGCTCTGGGGACAGAGTTTTGCGTTACAAAGGCAAACTTCACAATGTCCAGTTCTGGATTTTAGTCATGGAAGTCTGAAAGGGACCCAGCACTATTGTTTTGAAGCCTGGTGCAAACCCAGACTAACTTCACTGAGGCCAGGTAACGGTGCTGAGCTGGGACCTGGACCTCATGGTTAAATCTTCATGATGTTTAAAGACCCATCCTCAGCATTTGCTCTGACACTGAAGCCTTTGTGTCTCATAAGGATACACACGCAAAGGACATTTTTGTCCTAATGTTTGGACAAATTTTTCCCAGGGTGTGTGAAGCAATGCTGCCACAAGAGCCCAGCTGCTTGCCAAACAAACAGAAACTGCTCTGTGTGGTTCTCTGTTACTGTAAACAAGTGGAGCAGTTGTGCAACTCACTCTGGTTACCAGTATCGGTGACACCGCACGCTTCCAGGCTGGGCATCCACAGTCTCTTCCCAATCTCCTGTCTGCTTTCAGGATGCAGACCTGGCACGCCTGCTAAGCTCGGGATCTTTTGGGAATCTGGAAAACCTCAGCCTGGCCTTTACCAATGTGACAAGTGCTTGTGCTGAGCACCTCATCAAACTGCCTTCGCTCAAGCAGCTGAACCTGTGGTCAACTCAGGTAAGTGCTCTGCAGCCTGAGACTCAGAGCAGGAACCGGTGCTGACTAATTCCGAAATTCCACACTACGTCAGCACAGGAAGAGTGTGTGAAGAGACTTGGCTTAGATAACTTTGTCTGTCCTCCTGCTATTTTTACAGGGCCTTCCTGTAGTTTAGCTCACCTTGGCAGCTGATTTTTTTATCTTCACCCCTTTTTTTCCTCACATTTTTAATTTTTGTTTTATTTTTAGTTATAAAGCATTGCTGCTGTCTTGGCTTTAATGTTCCAGTTGGGCATGGCTGCTACTGTGTACTGAGTAGAGCCTGTGCTGCTGTTCATCTGGCAAATGCTTCTGCTTTTACCCAGTTAGGATGAAAAAATGATGCTGTGCATCTCAAATGGTCAAGCAAAGCACAGAGTCTGTGCAGTTGAAGCAGTGAATTGCTTGAAAGCTAATCAACCCAACAGCAACAAAAAGAAACTCAGATAATGAATAAGTAGAAGGAAATTATAATGAGAATGCAATCATTTTGTAAGCAAAAAAAGACCCAAGTTAACTGAACTAATTATTCTGCTGTTGATTGAAGGAACTTCAGTTTTTGAAAATTAAATTTTTCTTCTATATTTCTCTGCTGGTTTTGCTCTCTGAGATCCTTCCCCATTTTCTGTTAGTACCTATTTGTAGTGTTCTCTGAAAATATGATTATTATCAGTGCAACCACAAAAAGCAACATTTTTTTAACCAAAATGTCATGTAAATATTTCGTTTTGTTTTCCTAACTACTTTGTATCCCAGAAATACTCCCTTTTTTGTATGAGGAATATGAAGTAGAAACTGATTGCTCTCTTGTTTTAAGGCTGTTTGTATCTCCTCCAGATTTGTCTTAACAATGTAACTTTTGCATTTGAAAAACTTTGATGCTTTTTGTTCAAAATGAGTTTGATTTCACTGAACAAAGAGCCTGCTTTTTGTGCAGGGTTTCTTTTTATTAAAAAGGAAAAAAAAAAGGGGTTTAGATTCCATTTCATTTTGCGATATCCTGGTTTCCATTAATCTAGAATTTAGAAACAGCAGAAACCAAGTGGGTCAATAGAACAATTACCAATCAATAGTGCATTGTTCTTGAGACCAAAATAGCTAATTAATACCACTCGCACTGTGCTTTTTTTGTGTGATGTGGTTGGGAGCTGGCTGAGGCTGCCATAACCAGCGTGTATAGTCTGGGTGGGAGCCCGCTTGTACAAAGTCCAGGCTTCAAAGGCACCAGTCTAATTAAGTGATGGCCTGTGGTTAAGTGCACACAAGTCCCTTAATTTCTCTGTTCCCTGCCCTGCAAAGCAGGGATAGAACTATTTGCTCTCCCTGCTGTCACCGGCGGTGGGAGCGTGGCTTTGAGGGCTCGCTCAGAGCCCGTTTCCACGGCCGTGTTTGCACTGAGGTTCTCCACGAGGCGTGGGCGCCTCCCTGACCCAGCTCTGCTTGTGCCCCACAGTTCGGCGACGCGGGGCTGCGGCTCCTGTCCGAGCACCTCACCATGCTGCAAGTGCTCAACCTGTGCGAGACCCCGGTCACGGACGCCGGGCTGCTGGCACTGAGCTGTGAGTGACAGGGTGGGGCTGTGGGGGACACTCGTGTGGCTTCTGAGGAGCTGCTGTGGGCTGGGGCAAGGGATGGATCTGATCTCTCAGTGCTACAGCGCTGCTTCTGTGGGGGTTTAGGACAGCCTGCGTGTTTGGGTTTAATCTTCCCTCCTCCCTGCCCGCTGCTGCAGCTCTCCTGCTGTGGGACGGTGACCTGAGCCTGATGGCACTGGGTGGCCTCGTGTGGGCTTTGTCCTCCTGAGCCATACTCTAGATCTTGCCTCTGGCTTCACTGATGGCACCTGTCCCCATCTCACATGCTGACCTGTTGCCCAGGGGCTTCCCAGATTTCTTCCTATGGTATCCCCTCTGGGTGGGACCTGCCTTTGTGGTGCAGGAGGGGAGGATTGCAAAGCCATCTGGCAGCTTCTCAGTCAGTTCAGCAACTGTGTGCAGCAGGTTCCATACCCCTTCTGACACTTTGTTCCTTTGTTTTTGGGGAGGTGAAACTCTCCCTGTTCTTAGTTTGAGCAAGGCAAAGCAGAGCGAGGCATCCAGGGTTCCCTGAGCACTGAGAGCTGCTCGACGTGCTGGAATGAAACTCCCTCCTGCACCCAGCAGTGCATTACAAACCTCACTGCTGGGTTTGGAGGGCTACTTTAATAGGCTTGATCCTGTGCAGACGTGCCAGACAGGCCAGTAGTTATGGCTCATCTTAGGAAACTATTCTGCTAAGTACTGGAGCCTAAAATGGGAATGGGGGGAGGAGAGGGAGGACTGCCAGATCAGCATGGCCCCAGCAAGCACCACACAGAGCACTGAGAACGGGCACTATTCAGAATAATGTGCAGGAAACTGATTATGAGAAGTTGAGTGAACTCCTTTGAAGTCAGCAGTCTTAAGCATGTGCTTAATGGCCCTTCCTAAATAGGGACTTTTTCCTGGATGAGGGCCCAAACAGCTGTTTATCCATTTGTATTTCTATATTTTATGCTATTCAGCTTTTTCCTGGGAGGGCTGCATAGTCATGTCTTGTTTATGCTTTGGCCTACTGTAATGATATTTTAAGAAAATGCAGCATGATCATAAATATCTGTGTGTTTTCTCTTTTAGCCATGAAGAGTCTGTGTAGTTTAAATATGAACAGCACCAAACTTTCAGCAGATACCTACGAAGATCTCAAGGTATTTGTGAATTGCATCCTCTAAAGATGAGATGTAGCAAGAGCATGGTGGTGATGCTGAGAGCAGGGAGAACATTGACCCTGTGGAGTGGGTAGCATGAAAGTTACCTGAAGAGGCTGAAGTGGATTCTTTTGTGGATATAATAACTAAAAGCAGCATTGTGAGGGTTGCTGGCTTTGATGAACTCAGGAAACATTTAATATACTGAATGGAGAAGTATGAGATAGAATCAGCAGTTCAGTCTTTTTGTCTGTGCTATCAACAGTAAAGGCTTTATCAGTAAGTTTCATAAATAGAAGCATATTGATTGTTTCTGATGAGGATGCAGAGACAAGTACACCATATTCTGTACTGTTAACAGGACCAAACATAACTTGGGTGAGCAGTATAATGAAGCTTTGATTTGGAATGCAAAGGCAGAACTGAAAGCATCGAGGAAGATGAAAATTTATCTTGACATCTGTAGGACTGGAATTGGGCTCTGAGCAGAGACATCTGCACAGATGTCCAGTTCTGAAATTTAACATGTAATGTCTGGTTTTACCGTGAGTTTATAACCACTTATGCAAAATGGTGTAAAGAACCAGGATGTAGCCCCAGGTGGTTTCAAAGCTTGCCTGAGATGTGTTGGCTTTCATGACTTTGCGTGGACTTTGCCTTCACTCTGGTGGTGTGTGAGTTGCATTTCCCAAATTCTTACCTTAGGGACCCAAAGACTCAGGATGAAACTTGACATTTGCTTGTCTTGGATGTTGAAACAGATTGGGCCACGTTTACTTAAAAGGTCACAACCTTGGGTTGAGTTTGGAACTTGAAGCAAGTCCTGTAACTGCTCTGCTTTCAAAATTCACTGCAAACATCTATCTTTGGTCCTGGCTGTGGAGCCAGGACTCCCCCAGGGACTCAGCTGCAATGCTGCTTGCATGAAGTTTTCAAGATCAAGTTTTAAAAACTTGTGTCACAACTGTATATGCAAAGAAGTCCTTGGAATTAACAGCTGGCTTGCAGATGGGTTCACACAATGGAGCTTGTATCAGGCCCCAGGCATTTACAAACAATCAGGGTCAATGCTGTATTTGGCCCAGGGCTCTGAAATCGCATCTATTGAAAGGCTCCCTGGTCCCACCCCTGCTTCTGAGCCCCTTTGCCACTCACTTCGTACTGAAACTCACATTTTCCTAACTGGTTCCCTCTGCTCTGGCATGACATTAATAGTCCTTAGCAGCCACACAAGAAAGTGACTTGCCAGGGCAAACAGCAAAACTGCCTGTGAGCAAAGTCCTGATGACTGCAGAGAATTCAAAAAGCTGAGAAAACAGGCAGGCAGCACTTTTTCCCCCTTTCCCCTCTTCCATTGAGATTTATCTTGGTGGCCATTTTTTTAGGGCTCTGTGTTTGTTCAAAGGTAGTAGTTTCTCTCCCTGGGGCACATGGTTGTAGGTTTGTTAAGAACAGCTCAGACTTCAAAGAACATATTTTTTGATACAAATCTTTCTTTCTTCTCACATTGGTCTGCAAGAGCATTTGGGGCACGAGCCAGTGATGACATTTCCTCTCAGCTCCATCCCCCACCCCACTAAACACGCTTGCACACACACAGACACCCACATATGTACCAGGCAGGCTGAACCAGACAATAAATAAACACCCACTACTGAAGTCATTATTGCCTAACTGAAAAATTATTTGCTGGCAGTGTCTGTAGGATTATGAATAGCTCTTATCAAAATATGCGTGCACATAAATCAAGGAGTGAGGTAATAATGACTCCTAGAAACTTCCAAGTCCTCAATTATGCCCTGGCCTAATTAGCCGTGTTTATTTGTTTTGAGAGAATTAGCTCTGCAATTATGGTCAGAGAGCGTGGAAAGGGGATGGACGAGTAGGAGCAGCACAAGCAGCCAATCCCCATCTGCCTCATGTGGGGCGATTCAGGAGCGATATGGCCAAAAGCAGCGGAGTTGTGGAAGGGGGAGACCACAAAGACACCAGAAGTTACTGATGCTCCATGCATTGTTTTAGTACATGGAAAGTGAAATGAGCAATGTGGGGGCTGAAGGAGGAACGTGTCTCTCTGCTGCAGTTTGAGTGCTCTGCCTTCACCGTCAAAGTTGGACAGACACGTTTTGCTAAGTGTTTGTGTAAAAAATGAAGATCAGGGTCCGATCTGGACCTGGTGGCTGGTGCATGGCTTTTAGAGCAGGTGGGACTTGACCCGTGTGTCTGTAAGGGCTCAGCATCCGTTCCTTTGCCACACCCTCCTGCTCCAGCTCACCGCTGAGCTCAGCACTGGGCCCAGGGTGTCACACCTCTTCCTGCAGTTGGTGGATGACAGATCAATCCTCCCTCTGCTGCGAGGTGCTTTGTCCTTTTCTGTGCTGTCCTTGCCAAGGGGAGGTGCTTTCATCCTCTTTTGGGAATCCACATTCAAAATACAAATTCAGTCTTCAGAACTGCACAGGTCCCAGCCTTGCTGTCACACAAGAAGTCACAGGACACAAAGAGTCTTTTGGCATTTATGTATCCTGGGCAGCCAATCATCAACACCCCCAGCAGCAGGGCAAGGTGCTCTCCTTCCCCAGAAGTTCTTTCACCCCACCCTTCTCTGTTCCTCTTCCAGATTTGGATACCACTGCTCTGTTAATAAGTACAGGGAATGATCCCACACAAGAGATTTGACAAGAACTTCTTACCTGAGCCCTTAACACATTGTTAATTCTGACCTTTCCTCTCCTCACAGGCTAAACTCCCCAACCTGAAGGAGGTGGATGTCCGCTACACCGAAGCCTGGTGAACTCGCCCTGCCTCTGACTCTTCTCTTTTGCTTCTCGTGAGAAGGAAAAGATTTTTAAAACAGACAGATTAAAACAAACCAGAAAAATAACTTTTGGCCAATTCCTGTAGAGCAGTGAGTCTGGGGACTTGGTGGCAAGAGTCGTGGTTGTGGGGTAGCAGAGTGGAGTTGTGTGTGTTGGGAGGACGGGGCAAGCCTGCACCCCATCGGATTCTTTCAGCTTTGTGATTTCAGAATCAACATAATTTAAATTGAAAAGGAAACAAGCAAACAAACAAAAGGACTTTGTAGCAGCAAGAGGATTATAAAGAGGAAAAAAACACCTTTGTGGATTTTATTTGCCTTTGTGTTTTATGCCGTGTGGAGAAAAAAAATATATTCCTTTATCCTTACTTACCTGGGTTTCCTTGGCTGGCACCCAGCCAGCCAGAACTCCTGTTTCACCAGTTTTGCTCCAGAAAATCAAACTTCAAAAATCTCAAGAGAAGAAAACCAAAACCAATATGATTTTCACCTCCCCCATGTCCTTGCAGTTGTTATGCAAAGTAATTTCGTTGTACATAAGATTTACATAATGCACCTATTTAAGAAAATGGTTCACAAATAACAGGTCTGGGACCTGTCTTTTATTTATGAATTGTTAATTCTTTTACCCTTTTTTTGCGTATAGTACTGTATAAACTAGTTTGCTGTCTTGTTGTTATTATTATTTTTTTTTTAAGGAAATGTCCTCCTTGAAGAATTGCCTTTCAGTAATGCAAACTGTATTATACTCCCTCTTTGTCAACATTCATCGCGTTGTCTGTTTGATTTCAAAATGCCTCAAATGTTATCAAATAGGAAGGAAAATCTTTATCAAGGGGGGCGTGGTTGTTGGGGGAGGGGGTGCAGGGATTAATAAAAGTCACAATTCCTTCCAAAGTCTGAAAACTTTCTTTAGTCTTCTAAGCCATGTCAGGTTTAAACACGGGAGATGGGGACAAGACGTTTATTTTGCCAATGCGGTGTTTGCAAACTGTAGATTTTGTTTTCTGTTTACGTCCAATATTTCAAAAAGAGAAAAAAAAGCTCTTCCTCCACTTTGTGCATCAGCTTTTTCTGGGTTTTTTTTTTTTCCCCCCCTCCCCTCATTGCCTCCCCTGTCCTGTGCCCCACCTCCCTGCCCTGTTCTGTGCACGCATTGTTCTGCATGTTCCTCTGGGGAGACTGAGGAAATCGCGGTGTTGCTGATCCGATAGCTCTGACCTGTCTGTAAATGTGACTGCTACATTTTTCAAATTCCACAGTTGCTTAGAAGATGATTTTTTTAAAAATTGTGGTTTCTTTTATAACTATGCTGTTGACTCTTTTTTTTTTTTTCATAATGAGCCTTCATTGTACAGAGCTGCTTATTTAAAAAAACAAAAACAAAATCAAAAAAAAGTTTTTCCTCTGTTTAACACTTATTTTATTCTTCAGCACCTCAAGGTTTCACATACAGCCAATGTAATTTTTTATATAAATATATATATATATATTTAATCTTATTCAATGGAAAGCCAAGCTTTTTTTTCAGGTTTTTTTGTTGTTTTCTTTTTTTAATGTTTGTTGCTATGTAGGCAACCCCATCCCAAATGATGTTGTTTTTATCTTTTTTTTTTTTTTTTAATAATGAAACAGAAACTGAGTCTTAACTCATGTAGTGTGTCAGGTTTTCTTTCCCCCCTTCAAATCCCAGACTGTATGAAGATGCAGTATGGGAAGGAAGAAGAAGAAGAAGAAAAAAAAAGAAGAAAAAATATGCCAACATTTTCCTTAGCACTGTTGCTTTTACCAATGGTTTACTACTACTGTTCTGTAGCTGTGTACAAAGAGATGTGAAATAATTTCAGGCAAAAATAAACTGTAAGTGAGTATCTTTTAGCTGCGTGCTTTGTGTTTTCTTTGAAGGAGGCTTTGGCTGGCTGGTGATGTGGGAGGTGCAGACCCCAGAGCAGGGGGACCAGCAGGCAGCCAGGGCATTTGCCACCACTCCCCAGGCTTGAGGAACCACCACCTAGAAGGAAGGAGGAGGACAGCTGAGCTCTGTAGGTCCTGTTCATCCCTCCCCAGGTCTGTTTTCTGCACTGTTCCCAATCCTCAGAAGGCTGAAGGAGTCCTTGCAGCGGCCAGCAAAAGAATTGAATTGGTGAGGGGGTTTCTTGCACTGGTTGCCTGATGTAGGAAATGAGGGAAGCACTGGGACATCTCCATTGAGAGGGGTTTCTGTATTTTAGGGCAGCCTCCAAAAGCAGGGATTTTCTCTGCCTTCTCCCACTGTCCTTGATGAAGCAGGGTGTGGGCTGGATGCCAGCAGGAGACCCAGCTGGAGCTCCAGAATTCTGCCTCCATTGTTTGCAGAGCTACTGAACTTCTGCAGCTTTCAAACAAATGAGCCCCACTTGAAACCAACCCCTGCAGGTGTTCTGAGAGCCAAGTTCATCACCTGTGTTACCTGGCTCCTGTACTCTCACTTCTCTCTGTATTTCTGTTCTGTTCCACAAAAGAGACTTGGAGATATGTGAGGGTCTGTACTGTGCTTCCAGCCAAACTAAGAAGTGCTCACAGGATGGCCCTTGATAAAAAGAATAACCTGCCTTTATTTTTTTTTCCTTCACTGAAACCAGACAGAGTCTGTTGGGCTTTTTGGGTGTTTCCCCTTGAGCAGTCATCACTGTGTATGGGTGGTCCTGCCCTGGCAACAGCAAGGACTTCACAAAACCTTTCTGGACCCAGAAGAGCCAGAAATATTCCTGTGATGTTGTGTGAGGAACTGAGACATCGCCCAAGGAAGGAGAGCTTTAGGCCTTGGTGAGATGAAGGCATGTGTTGGATACAGCTTCTCTTCCTGCTGTGGACAGTGGCCTCTCCTGAGCTCCCCAGGCTCTGCCTTTGGGGGAACTGGTGACAGCATTTGGATTCTGCAACCTCATCTGGATTATCAGCAGTGGGAGAAGCCTGGACATGCACAGAGCTTTGCTGAGATGCTCCGTGGGTGACTTGGAGTCAACAGGGAACGGGTATGTGTGAGATCCCCCTTCAACACCTGCCCCTCTGCAGCAGCCTCCAACAAACTCCTCCTTCATGTTTCCTCCCTGCTCCTGACTCCTGAAACAGCAGAATCTCCCCCTGCACGGCAGCAGGCTGAGCAAAGCCCGAGTGGGGTTGGAAGTGGTCAGTGTGGAGTTCAGCAGAGTGGTGTTGGGGTCTGTCTCACCTGCTGGAGTCATCACTGTGCCAGGACAGCTGCCTTTGTAATTGCCACAGGCCTGAGACCAGAGCAGCACTGTGAAGCTGTCTCAGGACTGTGTCTGAGCAAGGATTCTGCTGTTGGTTATGGAAGGTGAGGATTAGACGTGCTGTAATAGAGATGCTGTGTCTGAGCTTGCACTCCGGCGTTCTGAGCTTTTTGTACCAGAGCTCCAGGCCTCGTGGCTGCCTGGTGGTTGCCCCTGGATAATGATGCCTTTCTGCCTGTCCCCAGCTGCTGCTTGCTGATAATGGAGCCGTTCAAAAGCTGCCTGGTTCCATTTGGGAGGTGACTGCAGCCCATCTTCCTGGGGACTCGCAATGCCAGGGGCTTGGCTAACCCGCAGCTCTCGGCTTTCAACCCCAACTTGTGCAGTGGCTCTGATGCAAGTCCAAAGAGCACAAAGCTGCAGCGCTGCCGAGTTTCAGGAGCAATTTTCTCCTGTCCTCATTAAAACCCTGTGGTTGTCCTGCCTTCCTATTGCTGCTTCCACTGCTCACAGCTGCCTTTTGAGTTTCAGAAGACCAAACACAGAGATGAATCTCACAAAGTACCTTTGCCTCCGGTTCCCCAGCTGTGTGGGCTCAGCTTATTCGTTGCTCAGAGAGTGAAATATATACCTAAAATCCTGAGAATTCAGCATGGATTTGCTTGTATGGGAGTGCTGAAACAGCTGCTGGCCAGAAGCATTGTTAGGTGGGATTTTTACCAGGTAAGAGCTTGGTGTAGGTCTTGTTCATGGGATCCAGGTGGAGGCCAGGTTATCCACGAGTCCCATCCCTGGGGAGCTGACACTCCTTGCCTGACGCTGTCTGAGGGACCTCACGGAGAGCTGTGGCAGATGGAGTCAGTGGGCAGGTGTGGGGAACCCACACTGTCCCTGGGGCTGATCTGCAGCTTGCTCAGGGTCCTGATCTCCTGTCCCCAGAGTGGGTGAGCCTTGTCCTGGGGCTGTGACCTGGCCTGGTCCCCAGGGCCTGGAGAGGCTCCATCTCTGAGCCCTGAGCACCAAGCACAAGAAGTGTTTCATACTCCTTATGCTTCCCAGAGCACATCAAGCCTCTGTTCAGGTAAAGTCCTCTTGGCAATAAAGTGGGCTCTGGACTAGTAATCCCTAAATGCAGTAAAGGAATCAAATAGTAATGAGGTAAAAGCAAAGCAGGGGTGCCAGCTCCACCCAGCAGCTCTGGAAAACAGCTGGGCCTGTTCCCTTCTTTGGGATTTCCACTGCCCTGATGGCTGAGAGCAGCAGGACCCTCCTCTCTCTTATGTACAACGATTTTTAATGTTGAAACTTTGAAAACATCTATAAGCAGAAGGGCAGTGTGTGCTGTTAAGGGCAGTGCTGACCTCTCCCAGCCCCTGTAACACCAACCAGCTGTGCCCATTAGAACACATCACTCAGTAATATTGCTGTCTCTTGAATTTGTAATGATTTTTTCCAACTAAATGGAGTACACACATCAAAATATTTCTTTTAAGTAGATGTTACAATGCAATTTTTTCCATTTTCTTTTCTATTGACAGGGGATAAGCTTAAGTAAGTATTTCAGATTAGCCATTTTTATAATAACAGATCTTGGAATGTCCTTTTTGTCAGTGATGTCAAACATGCAGGTATTTTTCCTGATAGCCTGATACTTGGATTTTTATTTTTTTTTCAGGTAATCTCACTTTCATGCTTTTCACCAGCCAGCTAGAACAAGTGCTGCAATACCTTTGTAATTTTCCTGTAGGCCCTATCAGATTTTAAATACATACCCAAACCTCAGAGATCTGCTGGCCACGGATGAACCTTGTTGATGTAAATACCTTTTTCTTTCCAATCTCTACAAAGATCCAAACAGAGCCCTGTGTAGGAGAACAGAAGTCTCAGTTTGTGTTCAGACTATTAAATTGGTCTCAGCACCTAAATTCAGTTTGCTTCACAAATCTGGCAGCTGATGTAGTAACCAGTTTCTTGTTAATTTTTCTTCCAGCTGGGATAGGATATCCAACATTAATCCTTTAATTCTTAGGCAGCGTACATTTGAAGTTGAGTTGTTCACAGTAGATACTAAGATACTTTTAAATCATAGCAGACTCTCCCACCCAGAATCTCCTGTTTTTAAATAAGCCTTTGCTATAAAATCCCTGCCTTTGCATTAAATTACAAAATAATTCTTTTAAAAAGAGAAGTTTGCTTTGAATATAAGGTCAGAATCCCACTGACTGTCTTACTTTAAAAGAAGTGTTGCTGCTGTCTTTGGTATGCACCTTCTTATATTGAAATACTGAAACCTTAGCTTAGGGACACTTTTCTTTCTATATTTTACCTATTATGATGACATCAAGGCTCATTAATGTTAGTGACTCATTTACCAGGTGCTTTATGATCTTGGGGCTAGGTTTGGTTATTTACTGCTGCAGAGGGGCAGAGTGTGATCCCTGAAGGTTGCAAAAACACATTCATCAGGAACACTTCAAATTTCAGTTTGGGCCATAATGTTAGAAACACCCCATCTGTGGTTGATTGTTGTTTATGAAAGAGGAAAGGTACTGTAAACCTGTCTATTGACTAGAGTTCTATGTTGTTCTGATTCTGTTTTACCAGCTGTCTCCCTTCCATGTGGTTCTCTCCAGTCCTGGCAGATGGGATGAGCAGTGGCAGGGCTGGGGGAGCATCCCTGTGCCCCCGTGCCTGGCTGGGCCCATCAAGATCCCCTTCACGGTAAGGAAAAGAGATTCTTCTCTTCCTGGTGTGGGAGCAGAATTTGTCCATTGTAGCAACAAAAAATAACTCAGACCTTTATAAAAATCCCAGCTACAGCTGGAGCAAATCTCCCTGTGACTTGGGGGAAGGGCTGTGTGAGGGGCAGCAGGGACAGCTGGGCTCAGACACAGCATTGCTCTGCCCTCACTGAGGTGAAATTCTTGTTTTAACATTGCAGTGAACTCGGTAGAGTATTTTTGGATGGAACAGTCTGACCCAGACTTCTGCAACAGTCCACTATTAACTGATAAGTTAAAGGAGGCTCTGGGGGAATCGTGGATGTGGCTAATGGGATGAAATCCTTCCCTGGAACTGAGGCTGGCAGAGGGCTGAGTCTCCTTGCTCAAGCCTGGTAAAGATGCCAGGTCCTCCTCCTTCACAGCTCTTCAGAAAATGTACTGGTTGTCATTGTCAGAGGGATTTTTGGTTTAGGGCTTGGGGGAGCCTCCCCTGAGCAGCGAGGGGAAAGCTCCACTGCACAGCCAGAGACATGCTGTGGTCACTGGATGCTCACACAGGATCACATCCTTCATGGAGACGTGGAATTCCCTCTTTGGGGGTCTGTCTGCCTCCTCCTGACAGGAGAGTGAGTGCTGCTGGCTCTGCCATAGTGCCTGTGACAGAGAGCTTGTGTTCCTGCACAGTGAGAGCTGCAGGACCCCAGAGTGACAAGCCTCTGCCCAGGTCACCTTCTTCATATTTTGTGAGCTTCCAAACCACCTTTCTTGGAAATGCAGTTGATTTATGAGGGCAGGGAAAACAGGTCAGTGCACAGAGGGTAGAGCATGGTCCTGATGGGTGTTTCCAAAATGCAGCCCCATCCCACTGCTCCCCAGTACCCCCAGTGACATGAGGAGGGTCTGGGCTGGTGAACATCCCTGG